TAGTAGAGAGAGAGAGAGAGAGAGAGAGAGAGAGAGATCTGTCGATCAATTTCTTATATTTTCATCTAATGGATACTTAGGCTGTTGTTTATTTATTCATTTATCCACCTGTTTCACAAATTCTATAATTTTACTCTCGAAATACCCCTACTTAAAGTATACTGATTACATCAAGTATAATAAATGACATCTTTGCACTGTTTTTTTAACATAGTAAAATTGGTTTAAGGATTGGTTTAATTTTGAATTAATTTAATTCTTCAAGAACAACACTATTGTAGCTTCCCTCTACAATCAGAGGAAGCTATTCGTTCCGAGCAACAATGTTGAGCTTTCGTTGTTGACAACTAAATAAATTAGAATTTGCGGAAACCAAATTTCCAGTTCAATCGAAGTGATCATTTTCATCAGTGGCCAAAAATAAAATGATTTTCCAAATTCTTGAAGAATGTATTAGTTCTATAACAAATAATTAGAGAGAATAGACACACGGTTTAATAGTTCCTTTGTGTCTGTTTTGCAAGAGATTGATGAAAACAAATTTTGTGTCTAATTTTATTCGTTCTCTTTCTTATTCAGCTGTCATTTTCACATTGCTTTCAATGCTGGCAGCCTTGCTTTTTTTGGCCTATACAAGTTGTAAGCCTAAGCACTGTGGAGTGGCTGTTAGTTATCGACTTTTCACTCCAAGAAGAGCAGTGCTGAAGATATCGTTCCCTTTTTTGTCTCCGTATGTGTATCACTACCAATAGTATTTTGGAATTTAATTATTGACGAAATTAAGAACTGATTTTCAAGATTTCTCTATCAGCAGATTACAACCAAACAGGTAAATCTGCTGGCACTAATGCAGCTCCAGGAGGAAACGTCACTCCATATAACATTATTCATGCATTGCTAACAAACTTTGAAAAATGCAGAATTTAGCAGTCACCTTATAAGGAATCTGTGCTATGAACGGAAACTGTATGAGATGATTCATCATTACGCTGCATGCAATTAATTTATGTTTAAATTTTATATTTGATTTTGAATTCTTTATATGAATAGGGATACAAGCCAAAAACCCCGTATCCTTAATACTCTTGATTCTGTATATTTCTATATCCTTAATACTCTTGATTCTGTATATTTCTATTAACTTGTTGCTTCTTGAGTGATATCGTTTAGACATTAGAAGTGTTGTTGCACGTGGATACTGGATATATCGAAAAATAAGGAATTTCTTTTAGGTAGCAGACGAATGTGATGGCTTACAACGTTATTAGTCTAATCTTTTTGACGTTGCTCATACTCTGCAATTGTGCGCAAGCTACCATAACAACGAAAGGACGTCGTTTTATTGTCGATGAAGGTGATAGCGTGGAATTACCCTGCAATATACATAATATTGGTATGCTTGTGTTTATCTTGGAAATGAAATAGTAAGCTTACATGGAACAAGCAAAACAAAAGAAAAAAACGGCACTGTAATTAAGTCAACCTCTGTCTTTAAATTCGCTCAAAAAATCGCTAACTATCAAGGCTTTCATAAAATGCAAATCTAAAACTATAGTAATCTGTAGCGGAAGATACAGTGGTGATATGGAAACGAGGAGAACTAGTACTGTTTACTGACGAAGAAGCCTTTCATGAAGATCAACGATTCCAGTTGCACAGGAAAGATAATGTTAGTTTTCTTCTTGAAGCTAGCTGAATTATTCATGGCTGTTCTTCATTTATTCAGTAATTGTGTTTACAAGATTGAAATTTGAAGTCGTCCTCATTCTCTCATGTTTTTCTTATGTCACAATAGCAGCTGGACCAAAAAATATCAAGTATGAGTTATTAACCGAATTGTTAAGTATAAGTTGTACTGGAATTCTGACCAGTTATGATTGGATGCTGAGACTATCCTGCATGTTTCGATGAAGACGAATAAAGTATCGTTAGAAATCCTCATGGGAGTTTCCCTGTGTCAACAAATTTCATTAGTTTCGGTTTATTGCCTTGCTAATTAAATAAAACTCTCTCCACAGACTTCCTGGAATTGCCACATTTCTGGAGCAGAATAAAAATGGAAGATCCAATACAAATTTCATCAGGATATCATCACATTATCAACATTACGATTCTTGCAGAATTTCTGCGAACAAAAGTAGTTGCCAGAAGCACTTCTTTCTAGTTATAATGCACATAATTGACCATCGAATCTTAATTTCGTCAACAAGATCATTTCGAACATAATTTCTTGGTGCATAACAACTGCTAAGAAGTTAAATTATTCAATTATTCTTCCCTTTGTGTTATGTATTATTCCCATAAACCTTATCAGTTTCCAATATCGTTTCAATCACTGCTATCCTTTTTAAAATCGAAATTTCTGAACTTCTGCACTTACACTTTTTTATATCGTTACTTCTGCGCTGTTTCCCCTAATACTAGTAATTTGCCGTATATTTTAGGTTATAACCTTCCATGTCTACTTTTAAAGGACTTCCATATCTTGATGATTTTTGTTTCTCACCAAAGATGTTCTGTTTTGTACATTTGCTTCAAAATGGCAAAAGTAGTAGTGAGATGTTTGAGAAAAATATGTTCAATTTTTTTTAAAATAAAAACAACAGTCATTGGTTCCAACCAAAATCAGCTAATTTTTCAAAAATATGTTCTTCAAATCTTTGATTGACACAAATTAAACCCGCTAGAATGTGTTTTTGGTTTTTTTTCCAATAATTTTGCAGAATTTTACATTAGTTATCGAACGAGTGGAGCCATACGATGGCGCAAAATATGTTTGCGAAATAACATCTCCTGAGATGTCAATAACGCACATATTGGAAGTGAACGGTGCGATTTCATTATTTTTGGTTTCTTATTGTTGTATTTGAACAAACATTAGAGCATCAAAAGCCCTTGTTTAGAATAGACGGGATATTTCGTAATGTAAGCAAAATGCATTTGTTAGCTAAATGTATATTTGCTAATGTATATTTGCTGTATATTTGCAAATATAAATGTATATTTGTATATTTGCTAATGTATATTTGCTATCTGGGTTGTTCTAGTAAAGTAATTAAATGATCCTAGTTAATTAAAATTAGTACAACCATTGTTTCCATACTTACTTCGCAGATTTTTTTTGAGCTGAGGTTTTTAGTACGTCCTATGGTGTCTATTTCACCAGATGCAAATCCACTACTGGTGAATGTTGGTGAGAATATTGTCATTAAATGTTCAGTATCTGGTAATCCACCACCAAAAGTTACATGGACACGACAGGTTGTTTACAGCTTTGCTTTGAAACTTTCGAAGTTGTGGTTTTATCTTCTGGTGCTCTTGGAATTAATTTGAATTGAATGATTAAACTTCAAGCTAATAATGAAGTGGACCATAAATGATTCCTTGATTCAGACTTCATCTCTAAATTTTACCTTATTTCTGCTGACTCGTTTACTGCTTTAGCAAATGTGTGATTCATTTATAGGATGGTCGAGAAATGCCGGCAAGAGCTATATCAAAAGATGGACAGCTGAGGATAACTCGTATAACGGTAGACGATAGCGGCGTCTATGAATGTACAGCATCAAATAACGTTGGCGTCGATGCGCATGATACCATTGAAGTCCGAGTGCAGGGTAATTTTTCATTTCTTTGTTTAAAATTACCAATCGACATAATTCGGGATCAAAATTTACACCCGTATGAAGTACTATGAATGACAATGAATTCAGTAAACTGCCGGATGTATTCCAGAAATCTTGAATTAGAATTAATACATTCCATACATCCAGAGTTGAGCGCTTAAACTTGTAACTTGATTTCATCTCCTAACTTGAACTTGTCCAACAGAATTTTGCTGAAATTATATGTTAAATTCAAAATTTATGAAACTTTCAATAAACTCATAAAATTTGCCAGTTTTATTTAGACGCTGATGTCTTTTTACGAGTAGCTTTGGCGAGAACTGACTATCCAAAGACTGTATTTTGTGATGCAATTCGGATCTATGATATAGCTTTTGGAAGTTCAATTGTTTACAAAATTATATAAATCAGGTGTAGAACCCATTCATGCAGTCTAGAATCCATCATCATTATTATGTGTTTTGTAAACTGAACATATGATAAGGAATACAACTTCTATACCACTACTGATATCATCTTCGAGGAAATGAATAATTTGATTGATATGAATCATAGTTGGCGCTGTAAGAAGAGGAGAATCAATTTTACAGATAAGTAAACGCGGGAAACTTTCAAAAGAAGTTTGAATATACATGTAGCCTAAAATGCACTTGTTACGGAAATCTTCGCACATTCACATCCACCTCTTATGTAAAAGTTTCTAATAAGGGTAACTTTGAGTGTTTTGAAGAATTATTAATTCCTGCCTTAATCTTCCTGCAAGCAACATTGTTGATGCAGACCTTTGCTAAACTAGTTTTTGAGGCACAGAGATACTAAATTACAGCTTAACGTCCCATTTCTCCAGATTTTAACTTAATTCTTGATTTCAAATATTTCTCTTTGATTCAAAGACAGAAATCGAGCACATCCAGAAAATTTGTGAACTGACTCAAAGTCAGCTTAAAAGTATATACAACATCCTTGCACAAATGTTATCGGAAGCAGTGGCAAATGCGTATTCTTTATCAGACTCATTTATCTACTAATATAATTTCGTCCAAAAAATTTTTTGCTAAAATATCTGAAAAAAGAGTTCCAATAACAATCAATCCTTTATTTGAATCTCAGGAAGAAACGCAACTGCTAGTATGAGTAAAACCATTGGCAGTAGTGCGATACAAGTGGAAAAGGTGGACCAGGGTAAATCTCTAAACTCATTTAGTTCAGTTACTTGGCTCAAATTTAGCTTCACAGATTAATTAATGGGGGAATTGCTCTTTTCCTAGTAACTTTAATTGGGTAACGTTTTGTAATTGGCATGGCGTGATCTGGAAGAAAAAGTAAATGTGTGCTGCTAATATTCAGTTACAGAAAGTGTTTTTTAATTTAAAAGTTGTTTTTGAAAGAATTTTTCGCCGTTCGATTTGCTTCAGAAGAAAGTGACACTTTGAAAATGTAGGAACTTTCGACTGTTTTAAATATCAATTCCATAACCTTTTTGGAATTAATCAATTGATTTTATTGTTTTTTTCAGCGGATCAATACGGAGCGCATGAGCCGTGTGAGTTTGCATATATTCTTTCACTTTTTCCTAGTTTTTGACTAATACTTGCATGCTTTTGTCCGTTTACTCGATCTGCTAGTAACATGTTCAGAATATGCAGTTTACTACCAAATTTAACCCAACCTCGTGCTATTCTTCGAAGACGAATATTAAGCGTGAATTTTAATTTGTAGTCTCTAGTTTGTGTGAAGTAATGACGAGAATAGTTCCAGTTATTCCTGATAAGCTGCAAAAAAATTTGTCCGCAATCAATTCTAAGTGAGTGCTGTTTTATAACAGGATTATTTGGGCTTGTATGATCATTATTGATGATATCCGTTTATTAAACATCTTAAGTATAACTTTTTAGGAACTGAAATTTGAATTTTCGAGCAAAAGAAATTTGTTTAAGTAAAAAATTCGAAATTTGCTTGTATGATGGTTACTATAATTGGAATTTCTTTGTCTTTACGGATATCGAAGTAAGGGGTCAATTGCGGACGCAACAGATTATACGATTTTGTGCAGACTTGTTTTTTTTTCTTTGCTTCCACTTTAACAATAAACAATCAGGAGTAGGCTTTGTTCAAGAGGGTAAACAGATGGATCCATGAAGATTGATGATCATTATTCACCTCGCTTGTCTTGCATTCTATTTCCGCAGACCATTCATTTGTTAAAGTCGGCACATCCTTTTTGTAAAAGCTAGTTAATAACAATAGATCCCAAAATGAAAAGCAAGTTACGTGATTACTTTAACTGTATTTCTACTTCACATACAGCTGATGTTTTTCCCAATAAAAATGTTTGTGGCAAGAGTAAAGTTAATTTGTCTCATATATTGTGCTGCCGTACCCGGTTTCCTCTGTGAACCTGGTTTATGACCGTAGATGGAGGATTCTTTCTTAAAAATTTTAGATCTTCAACAGTTAATTGATTTGTAGTGCTTTTTCTTTTCCTTCTTTTGCATTATATACAGCTTTGGTCACATTTATAATTCCTAGTCCAAAACACTGAAGATTTATAACTAAAATTAGGAGAACTGCTTTGCAATATGACAAATCTTATTGGTGAGTTTGGTGATGAGTGAGTGACTAAATTATGGATTTACCCTTCAATATTTCATTTTGCAAGACCAATAAAATTATTTCCAAAGTCCTGCTAAATTTTAAAATTGCATGTTAAAATTCGTTATAGCTTCTGTTTTCACTACTCAGCACATTCTGAAACTTGACTATTAATATTTTTTTGAACATGTTTGTTTCTGAATTAAATGTATCCCTACCAGGAATTTTTAATTCATCTCTGTTTTCTACATCCAAATGCTTTTCGTGAATTAATTTGAAATCCGTCCATTAGTTCTTTATTGCCACACACTAGTACATTTTGTGGAGTTTTACATCCATGTAACTCATTTGTAATAAATGTCATCAAAACTGTGCGCTTTTTATTTGTAATTTTCTAACTTTTATCATTCTGATATTTTTTTGTTCTTGATTGAAATTTCATTCGAAAACAGTCTATGTAACAGGATAAAATTTGTATATTTAGCAGCACCATGGGTAGATTCGGTATATACATATATACCGGTAAGGCTAGATCAAGATATCAATCTAACCTGCAAATATAACGCCGAACCATCGCCGCAAGTTGACTGGATCTACAATGGCTTCACAATTAATGTTAGTGTTTCAATTCCTTTTCTTAAACTTATTGTTTCATGTGTTGCTGGTGAGTTACAGCAAAGTGCAAAATTTGTTTTGTTAAGATAAATTTTTTTATGAGTAAATGCTTGCTTCATTTTGTACCAGAAGACACTAGTAGGTATTCTTTCTGTTGAAGTTTGCGTCAAAACGTATTGGATTTTTTTTGAACAGAAACTAATAAAAAGGCTTCTAAATTTTCCGGGAATTTAATTTCCTCGTTTTTCCTGAAATTGAAAGACCATGTCAACGATGATAAGAGATTTTATGCAGCCGATTTTCCTTATCAGTTAATAAAAGAAGAGCAAATAAACTTAAAAGTCGCCTTGCAATACTCATTGAAGCAATTTTAAGCTATGACAGCAAATTCTCAAATTGCTGTTATCACAGCCATGCTGGAAAGAATTTGACGACACTGTGGATGACATGAATCATTAACGGCACATCTTCGTTAGGTTTGATCCCTTACATAGAACAAATGGAAAAGACAGCTCGTATCGTCCGAGCAGATGTCGTCTTTTCCTCCCTTCCCGTCCTTCCTTTCTCGCTATCATTCATGCATCCGTTGTTGGTTGGAGGGTACACAGCATGAGTAAAGAGATTAAATTTCGAATGAGTTGTAAGCAGATTAAATAGCTCTTATTACTAATACCACTGCTACACCCCAAAGGGAAAGTAGCAGAACAGTGCCGTCAAATTACATCACCAAAATCAGAGGTTCATCCATCAGCGCATCTGTACACTACCGCAGCTGTACATAGGCAGAGTAACGAGTAACGATGAGACATGCTCTTCACAAGTTGGACACATCAAAAATTGGTAAAGTAATGTGAAATGATAGAAAGGTTAACCTCCTGCTACAAATATACACTTAAATATTTTTCATATGTTGATTAGAAAATTCATGATTATTAAGAGTATGGAATAAGAAGTAGAGTGAGAGAGCAGATGTGCGCTTGTGATGGTTGGGATGTGTTTTTGTTTCGGGATTGTAATCTGTGCTGGCCCACTTCCTGAGATGAAAATGAGGAGCAGATGAGCCCTGACTTCTTATTTTGCTGTTGATTGTTCAAATCATTCAAGCATGCAAACTGGAATGAGCTGTTTTCCAGATGCAGTAATGTTGTGTTGGCAGGAGTAATCTTTGTACCGGGTTAAATGCATTTTTAAGAAAACATGAAGTAGACAAAGTAGTATGACCTCTTGTTTCGCGTTTGATAAAATGTTTAAGTCGTGCAGCGCTTATAGCTAATACTTTGTTCACGATAATTAATTGGGAAGACAATTGGAAGTTAAGGAAGGATTGAGAGAGAATATCAGTTTCAGCAGCATAAGACGATAGCAAGTTTTCTCCACTGTTATTTCAAATATTCAAATCTAAGTGGAACTGCGCGTGGATGCTCGTATTTATTGCGCAATATATTCGCAGTATATTCAGTATATCGTATAGCGCTTAACTTTTACGGGTGTTTTAATTTCTTGTAATCTTTGACCCATTCTACTTCGAGCTTAAGGCTGTTTTTTTTCCAGTTTTCGGATGACAAATTCAAAGGTTTAATGCAGTATGCTGCCAGACGGGATAATTACAGTGAATCCATCCTAGCAATCGAAAATATCAAGGAAGATAATTTTGGTGACTACACATGTCGCGTAGCGAATAATCTTGGTATAAAAGAAAAGACCATTTATGTCAGCGGTTGGTTCTTTTCAAATGTAATTTGTTAAAATCCGTCGAAACATTTTGCCGACTGATTTTTTGTGTTCTTGATATTTAAAAGCAAATGAATAAGCATTTGGAGTGCTTATGTTTATGAATAACTTGCTAGAAACTTGTTCATAAGTAAATGAAATTTCGTCTTAATAAGCCGACCAATAGATCGATTTTCATAGGATTAAAATGTGGCCAAAAATATGACGATCCATTATAATGTTATCCAAAAAAAGATTTATTGGCCTATAAAATGTGTAGGAATAATAAAAATCATCCTATGTAGTAATCATTTTTTGTACCGTAGGTAGACAATCAAGTACCCGAACTATGCAGCAAGCAGATGTAAATTGTGCAGCATAGTTTCAGAAATATTTGTGGCTAGAAAATAAATTCCTTTTTTTCCCGACTAAATGAAAGCAAACTTTATTTTAAAATCTAAAAAAATCTTCTGTGTTCTGTTCATCCATCAATATGTTAAAAATACAGAGGACAGGTTTTTTCGTCATAGAAAATAATGATCTGGTATTTCAAATTCAGAACTGAAATATTGAAATTGCATCATCTTGTAGGTCGACCAGGACCACCTAACTTAAACGCAAGTGGAATTCGACTTTCGTGGAACGTACATTCAGTGGATCCAGTCATCGAATACCAAATCTTGTATCGATTCTCCAACGATGATACATGGCAGCAGTTTAAGTCTATAAGGGCGAACAAAGGTTGTCTATTTTAAATTTTCAAATTTGGTATATTATGCAACCAAATGGAAACTTTAAGATTTGTACTGTCAGTGCAACCAACCGAAGCCTCCATCGCTGCTCTGTCCGGGAATCTGATTTAGAAATTTCAAAATTTTCCATTTCTTCTTTCTCCATGATCTATACACGTAGTGGAAAGGAATAAATTTCTCAACCTTAAAAGTATGACTAAACTCAGAGGAGCAACATGGTGATATTTGGAGCGGAAGCGAAGATTTGATATGGTTACGGCCAGGCTTAGAATACGAATTACAAATGAAAGCGCGAAATACACTAGGATGGGGCTCTTTGGCTCGGTCTTATGTTACAATGAAAATACCGCCTTTTGACAATATGACCAATGACAGTAAGCACTTCATTTCAACTGATGAACAATTTTAAGATTTATTTTGATTTTATGTGCTAAAATTCATTTTCTGCATCAAAAAATTTGTAAAACATGCTTCTTACATGATAATACGACTAATTACCATTATGGTATAATTGTTCGGTCTGGTATTGAAATGCCAAGTATAATGACACTTTGGATAGCTTAAAAATTAACTATTAGTTGAACTGTCCGTGTTTGGTTCACTTAAGTCTATGAGTAGCTTGACTCTACGGCTTTCAACTGTAATGGTTAATGGTTATCATCGCATTTTGCTTGAAACTTCTCCGATTACATTGCTCTCTGTTTTGACATCAAGCAATCATTCTTTCTTGCACTATTGAGATATAAATTTTGGATTCCATAAACTGTCGTGTTTTGCACTGATTTTCTGCCCTATTTTACACTCTCATTTAAAATTTGAACAGAAATTTTTTCATTTAGTTTGTTCCAGCCGAATCTTTAATGCATTACCAGTGTTGGGGAAGTTATTCAATTTATAATTGATTACCCTTGCAGAAAGGTTAAACTCAGTAAAGCGAATATTTGCCTCACGATCATCACATTTGTCCATCGTTTCATTTATTGCTGCATCAATTTTCCTATTATGAGTTTCGCTTCGTTCATTGATATGCAGAGGATCGGTATTTTGGTTGGTTCATCACTTCCAACATCGTATTAATCGCTAGTGCCAATTTATTGGTCAACTACGTAAATTTTTTTCTTGTTAAAAATATATAATGGAGGTGATGTTGTGTTGGACGAATTTGTGCGTTCGTGAGTTAGATTTTGTGGTAGTTTAAAAAGCAACCTGGGAATAACTGATTTTCGTGTAATAATTGAGCCAAACTCAGAGATAAAATAATAAGGTTCTAGTGTTGCTTGTTTTTCCCGTCAACACTTTTTTGGACAGAAAGTTCTTGCTATTTCAATATTGTTGGTGGCTTCCTTCTTCTAACTAGTTGAATCTCTTTTTTCACATTTCTTGTTTATTATAATCTATGTTTATTACAATTCATCTTTATTATATTTCACTTCTTGTTTATTATGTATAATTCATAATGCATTACTTCTTTATTATAATTTTTCGTTTATTGTAATTGTGCAGCTTTCATTATGTTTCATATTAACTTCAACTTGATCATAAATGTTGAGTCTTGAAATCTATCTGAGATTAGCATTCACAACTAAGAGGTACTAAATTTGCGCAATTTTGAAGTTAGTTATGGAAATAACTTTCTTTATTTTGCGTCTGTTGTAAAATAGCTACCGGAATTTCCTTTTTTCAAGGGGAATTTTTTTTTTTCGATGCGGTGTCGTACTTATCAAATTGATGAATCACGATATGAATTGTCATTTCCATACGCTACATAATCACACTGCAAGCGAATGGGGTTCCCAATAGTCAGAATTCTGAGGCAGCTTCCTAATTATCTTATCTGACAAATATTAAACCTTGGCTTTTTTTTCATATTCTGTTTTGTTAAATTTGTCGATGGCGTCTAATAACTCTTGATGAAGCGCGTTGTATTTTCAAGTTGGGTCGTATTTCATATTCCATTAATGGTGCGTTTTATCTTTTATTCCACTTTTTAAAAGCTGTTGAAGTGAACAGTGGTTTATAGTTTTCTTCCAACAGATTTTGTAGTAGCAATGAGTTCAGCAAATAGGGGAACAGAAGAGCATTATTTATTGGTAATAATGTACATTAACCAGTTAGAAATAATTAAAAGCGAGAGAAAAAAGCTTGTTGAATCACTTCAAGTTTTGGAGACTGTTGTTAAAGATTTGTGCAGTGGTTCCTTCAATTTTGACGGCTTATTAAGTCTGGCTACTGTTTTGTAAATCAAATTACTAGTTCGTTAGATATTTTATTCCGCAACACATGCTATATAAATTGTCCATAAAACGACACATTTCGATTTTCAATATGTGTTTATGTTAAAATGCCCATGATGTTTTTCAAATTTTTATATATGTTTATTTATAGAATGTTCGATGTTTCACCATATATATTGTCTTTTATGGCGCTTCCACAAAGCCTTGAAATTGTTGGTTATCTTCACCATATTTTATGTGGAAGGAGGTTGAAAGAAGGATAGTCTCATTTCTGCATGCTCTTTTCGTCGTCTAAGGCGTTTCCTCATTCAGAATCAAAGTTTGGTAAAGTAATGTGCCTAGGATTTTATTTGAGAAGTTACAAGTTCAGAAACCCCATTAAGGACGCCTTCGCAATTATAGACTGACTGAAACGACTGTGTTGAACTTTGACTTGTTTTAAAATTTTTAGGAATAACTTATAAGTCTAACAGAGCTACTGATTAGTTTATATCAAATGGGTTAGATGAAATTCTAGACAGAGGCCAATTATAATGTTAATTGATTGATTAAAAATCAATGTAAAATAAATTGTTTTTGTTCTATTTTATTATTTCTCAGTTGGAAAATCAATAAAGATTAAGTGTAATCGCTTGCAAAATTGTCTGCTACGTTCAGAGCTGCACATTATAAAACGAATCAATCTGTACCAGTTTCACGAGGAAAGGCCAATAAAAATCAGCCAGAGTCAGTTTAGATCCAAAAGTTAAACCAAGTGTTATCTGGCACTTCGGAATTCTTTTACTCGCATTGTTACATGTCCTTTAAAATCACAATTGTTTGTTGGACTTCGCTACCCAAGTGTCACAAGTAGCTGACATTTCTTCAACAATAGCCGAGTGGAAAGAAGTAATGACCCTGGGAATTGTTAAAAAGATTTATGTCACTATTCAGTATTAACCATTAATTTTAACTACGAAAAGGAGTAATCTGCTCCAGACTTTCAATTAATTCAACATTTCCGAATTTGAGAATTAATTTCTGGGCTATTCATAACCTTACGATGATTTGCTGTAGGTCAGCTAATAATCAGTTCAATTAATGCGAATTTTAATTGTTTACAAAGTGGCACTAGCAAGTCTAATATTTTTCTAGACATCGTGTTTCTTTAACCGAATTGATTTTCCTCACTTCCATTATTACGAAGAACAAATTATGTAGCAAAATTATATTGCAGATTATAACATTCCAGTAATGAATTGGTTTATAATGCTTGAAATGAAAGCAATAGGAGTTAGCGCCTTGCAATTGGTCCAGTCAACTTGATGCATCCAGTTACCGATTATCCTGAAATATATAATAAAGATTTAACCAGGGCTGTTTTTGGACTTCGAATAAATTCTGGGAAGAACTCGCTCGAAAAATTCGCGGATGTATCCCTCATCTTTGAAGCGCTGAGTGAGTTCATTTCGGTAGTTGGCATTGAATTGTGCCAAATCACGAGTCATAGTAACCAGCGGAAATTTTGCCCAATTGGTAATTACGATATACTCATATTGTCCACTTTCAGCATTTTTTGGTCCTGTTATCACGACTTGATCTAAAATTTACCATTAAAACTAGATGACTAATTGTAGTTGATCAATAAGGATACTGCAATTCATTGCAGAGCGGTTTTGAAAGTAACAAATACCAAGAAGTGATTATATTGAGAATATTTGCTGAGATTATTTGTGCTGTTTGTAAATTGCATTAAACAAACAGGAAAATTTTGATATTAGAAACGTACAATGGAAGTAATTGATGAAATCTGTTAAAAAAAAAAATCGTAAAGATTTAGTGAAGATATCTCTGAGGTACGAAGAACTAACAAGGACATGGATCTTCCTGAATATAAATGTAAACTTTTTCGTTGTGTATGATGCCGTAGCCAAAGCCCACTTTAGGAATACCATGGGGGCTGTTAAGACGGAACGAATCCACCGTTGAAAAACTTGATGTATCTCCCACTTATACTACATTTCTAACTGCAACTGTTGTTTTCATTAAAAAAATTATAACGCGGAAACAATTATGGATTATGAGGGATATAGAATTCACATATACCTATAAATGGTCTTGTATTCTTAAATTTTAGATTTAAGCTGATATTTTAACATTACCTAAGAAAATGTAAGATAAACAAATGAAACAGAAACTAACACTCAGTAGTAGGACAATAACGATCATGCACTCCAGATGTAGAAATTACCTGCGAAAAATATTGAGCAGTTATCAAGTTAGTCAAATGTGCAGAAAAAGTGTGGTAGGAAGTAGACATATAGCTTATACACTTGTCTTGTACATAGACTAGCCGGATGATCCGGTTATCATTTTTTTTACCATAACATTACTCTGTTAGATGTAAAGAAATTAATAGATCAAAAGCTTGTTCCTAAAAGCCAAAATAATCCGCTACCACTTTAACAAATTTTAAAGTAATTACTTCGACGGAGCAAACAGCCACCATTTCGATATAATTTTCATTTTTCTAAACATATTTTTTGAATAGTTCCACAATCCACGACCAACAACAACATAACTAAAACAAATCTTTTACCCAGTAATACTTTCCCATTAAAGAGTGCAAATCGACTATTGGCGTTTTAACCAAATCAGAAAGATAATCTTGCGCTCCAGGTATGAAACGAAGAAGATTCTGGAATAAGCTGGGCGAACGTTGGTTGACGAGTGGTGTTCGACGGAGCAAACAGCCGCCAATCCCCGGAAAACTGCCAATAATACCTGGAACAGATGGGATGCCATCTAGAAGCATTACTTGAGGTAGTGGTTTCCGTAACCTGCAATGCAATATTTAGTGAGTAATGACATGCAAAAGTAGATGGGAATCTTGAATTTAGGGGAAAATATTAATACAGTTGGATTGTAGTAGCATCTTCTCTCTATCCTCGCAAAAACTGGTAAAATTTTTCTTGGCTGGATTCCATAAAATTCGAATTTACAAACACTTGAAGCCAGTGCACACGATGGAAGTGTCGCTGACCTCTATGAAAAACTATGTGCAGTGCCTTTGGTGTCATTATTCATAATAATAAAGAATATTTAAATTCTCTGCATTAACGGAAGGGTCACCTTTTATTGAAGTTATTGTTTGGATTTTTCTGCAAACCTTGGATGAAACTGATAAGAGCAAAGCTCTGACTAAAACAATACAGAAATTTTCAAAAATTAAATGCACTTTTTCACTGCAGTTAGGAAGAATTATGAGAAAATGAAGCTATAAAGTAAGATTAGATATTCAGTGTTCATGAAAATGTCATTAAAATGAATTCACATATCACTGACAACTGACTTAAAATCAAAAACGAATTTATTCTCATTAAATCCTTCCGCATGGAAATGAAGCAAAAGTGATGATCAGAATTTGATAAGTAATATAAAGGAAAAAGAAAACCTGGTAATATCATTAATGTTGTTACCTGGTAATATCATCAGTTGGGATGCGATCACTCACCGTACCACTTTGTCCTGTGTTTATGCCAAAGAGATCCAATAAATTGCTATGCTGTGCCAAAACTGGGCAACAGTACTGAACTAAGAAAGCGGTGCTAAGGACAATGTTTAAGTTGGACCGAAGAGTCATGATACAGTTTTGATCACAAAGTACTATAATAAAGCTATTAATCAATGTGATATCAGTTGGAACAAATTCCACATGTCGATACCGTCAACCTAATCTGAAAGTGAACAACGATGGACAAATTCGATGAAAATGAATAGCCCTAAACAAGAAATCTGCAGAAACGGGTACATAAATCTTTAACATCGGTAGAACTCTCCGCAAATATGTCAAAGATATCCGTAGGGTTCAGCAACGATTGTTTATCAATGGATGGTTTAGGATGTTCTCTTCATTCATTTAAACTTGAACAGCTCTGGAAATAAGTTAGTAGAGATTAGCAACAGTATTTCATTTTCCGTATTTTTTAAAATATCAGCTGGTCAACCAATGTCACCAAAGCAAGGATGAAGATTTTTCTATTTGAAAATTCTTGAAACACAAATTAAATTATAATATATTGAAGAAGTAATAAATTTAGACATTACTGTGAAAAACTACACTAGGACAAACTGGTAACGGCAAAGCATATGCATTGCTGTTGTTTTTCATTTTAAGCATCTTATTTTCAAGCGAACGGTGGTATGGTTAACGTCTCATTATATGAATAAAAACTTAGAGGAAATTCTAACCAATTTACCGAAGACACCAGAAATATTCAAAGAATTTTATTACTATTGAAAATACAACAGAACTGATGATTTTCTGAAAATTCTTATACAAACAACAAAGCATTAAAATGAAAAATGTAAAATGTAAAACTTAAACATAAATGCGTTGAAGCTTCAAATCTTTTGTCAGCTTCATTATTACAATTATCTTTTACTATAACTTAGACAAGGAGCTAACTTTCAAACATCAATGATTCTTAGTACCCCAGTCAAGCGATGTACATTATTGACAGCTGCTTGGGAAACGAAAGGAAGCAATACATGAATTTTTTGAAATTATAGAGCACCAAATAAGACTGCAATATGACTGAATCATTTCTATTGATGGAATATAAAAAGTACTTATCGGACGTGAGTAACAGCTCAGTTTAAGTCCGAAATTCGATTTAATGTTCCTAAAAATATGGGAAAAAAACTTTGTTACTTAGAAACAAATTCATGCTAATATTTATTGACGATTATAAACATTAGCATACAGATTTGAAATAGTTGAATTTATGTTTCAATGATGAACAAAAATAAAATCTGGTGGAGATTATATGATAATTACAACTATTTGGATTCGTAACTTTTACACTCTTTTTTTTGTCACTAAGAAATTAAAATTCTCAGTTTTCTTATAATGTGAACTAGTTTATCATTTTCTTGGATGAAGAAATTTATTCTCTCAAGTGATCGTAATTTTAGTACAAATCGAATATTTCAGTAATCTTCCAATAACCAACCTATTTTGATCAAAATTCTTGATAATTTTCTTTTCCTACACTTTTTTTTCTCACAAATATTTTCCATTGTTTGTGAAGACAGTGCAACTGGAAATAACTCTCAATGTGTGGTCGCAAGGGGAAGAACCATAAATCATTTTAGGCTGTTGGATAAGTGAATTAATCAACAAATCTGATATGCTTCTTAATCAATCTAATTTACAGCTTGATCG